CTGCTTAAGAGACTATATGGGTTGGGCACAACTGGATGTCTGGCAATGGTTCTTTTGTTGACTTCCCTCAAATCTTGCACCAGCCTATATTTCCCTTCAGCCTTTTTAACTGCCAGTATAGGGGTATTATGTGGTGACATGCAGGGTTCTAAAATTCCCTCTTGCAACAGTTGTTCAATGACTATAGCAAGTCCCTTCTTTCCTTCTAGGGAAATCGGATACTGTTTAACACGTATGGGTGAGGTATCATCCTGCATTTTTTTGTTATCGGTGGAATGTCTAATAAGCCTCTCTTCCCCCCCTCAGCCCATACCACAGGATTTATCTCTGCAACATCTCCTTGAGACAGCTTCATCACTTGTACTACCATTCTCCCTTCCCTTGGAACAATCCCAACCCCCAAATGAACTTGCAGATCCCTTCCTAACAAACTTTTTTCTAAGTTAGGCAGATAAAGAAAATTAGCTTCACACTGCCTTGAGTTTCCAATTATTTTCACTTCTTCAATCACCGATGCTCTAAATGGTCTCCCCTCTGCACCCAATACTTCACAAAATTTTCTCCCAATTTCCATACCTTGTGGTATTTTGTTTAGACAGGACTTATCTGCCCCTGTATCAACCAAAAATTCAAATTCCTCATTTAGGGGTCCCACTTCAAAGTTTACCAAGGGCTCTTCTAGATGTTTCATCGGGTCCCCTATAGTAAAAAGCCCTTGACACCCCTAGTCCTCCCCCTTAAGAATCCTCCCTAAATTGTCCTGTTCCTTGGCTATTGCCTCATCGAGACTGAGCTTTTTACAAAACCTCCTGGTGTGTCCTGCCTCCCCACAGTAATAACACTGTCGTCCTCTCAAAGGGACTTGAGGTCTCTCAATCCTTTGTGCACCTGTCGGTACTGGCCTACCTCTGCCTCCTCCTGATGGTGGACCTGCCCCCCCTGCACTTTCTCTAGCTACAGCAACCATTACCTTAGCCTTGGCCTTTGCTTTTTCTTCCTCCCTCCTTAAATACACCTTCAATGCCTCTTTTAACAATTCATTTATGTCCTTCTCTTGCCAATCTTCCATCTTTTCCAGTTTTCTCCTTATATCAGGCCAAGATTTGGTAACAAATTGGACTTTTAGTAGCATTTGACCTTCTGGGGTGTCTGTGTCTATTTTAGAGTACAACTGGAAGTTCCGCCTTAGGCGATTTAGCCAAGCAGCAGGAGCTTCATCCTTCTCTTGTGCACCCTCAAATGCCAATTGGGTGTTAGTTCCTTTGGGAACTGACTCTTTGATCCCCTGAATTATCAAAGACCTATATTCCCTCATGGCCTTCCTCCCCTCCTCCTGGTTAGGGTTGCAGCTGGGCTCCGTTAGGGCAATTTCTGTTCACCTGATGGCACCTGGAGTCCTGGACTGTTATCTTTCTCCCATATTCTTATGCCAGCCGCCCTTATCATCCGGACCTCTTCTGGGGAAAATAATATACTCAGGATGGAATTCATCTCCCCCCAAGTGTAGATATTTGGACCTAGAAATTGTTCCACTTGGTTGGCTATGCCCACTGGGTCCTCCACTAAATGCCCCAACTCTTTCTTGAATCCTCTCACCTCAGAAGCAGTTAGGGAAGCATTCACAAAGCCAACACCTCCCGCTATTCCTCCCATAGGAACCTCTCTGAGGGGAAAGAGTCTCTCCGCCTTGGAGGTCTTGGAGCTGGTGCTACAGTACGGCCCATCTTCAGATGCCAAACTACTTTGAGGGATCTCTGGGTTACCGTGAACTTCCTGCCCATCAGCAGGTGTACTTGCTGATAGCTGTTCATCGGGCAAGGAGGCATGTGTGCCCCAACTAGGAGGAGGTAAAGGGACAGCAATAGGAGGGGGAGAGGGGGAAAAGAGCCTGAGTGAATATTCAGCGGAGCTGGAGAAGGGGTGGAGAATGTAGCAGGTGGAGTAGGCACTTGTGGTGATGCTGAAGGATCTGGAGGAGCTGAAGTGGGCGGTGAGGGAGTGGTTGGAGGAGATACTGGGTTTATCATAGCGGAAGCTGAAGAGGAAGAAGGAGGAATTTGAGCAGGTGGTAGTGAGATGGCGGCCGGGGGAGGAACCGGACCTGCCATTTGAGGTGCTTGTAGAAGAGGATTATAAGGTGGAGGGGCAGAAGGAGGCAAATAATCCAGGGGGTCCCATCTTTTACTAGTTCCATCATCCCCTCCTTCATTCCCTTCTTTCTTCCTCTGTACCTTACAAATTCGCACCCCTTCATCCCCAATAGCGCTCTTTACCCAGCAAGCCACATACAACAATTGCTCAGGATCAGTATCTCTTCGAGCTGTCAGATAATTATTTAATAGTTGGCACATCCACTTATCCTTTGTCCCACACCAAGGCCATCCCCCTTGCAGTTCTAATTCTGGCCACACTTCCATACAATAATGGATCATTTTCGCTTTATCTAATCCCTCCGTGGCCTCTATAGAATCCCATTTCACTAACAGTTCTCCTAAGGGACTACCGGGAGGTATATCTCTCAGTCTCTTGCCGGTCTTTTTACTACTACAACATCCCATTTTTCAGGTCTCAATAACAAAGACTCAAAGGTGCCTCAACTGACCGGTAATTTCAAAAAAACCTTGTCTGAGGAGCTTCAGCCTCCTCCACTGAAGTTCAAATTTCTGCCTGATGCTCAGGACTTTATACTGAAACAACTGCCCAATCTCTTGATTGCCCAACTTTCCCAGCGTCAGGTCTTACATCTATCGGGACTTGAACACACGAAGCCTCGGCCAAGAATCCGGGTCGTGCCTGACTCCCTCAGTCAGGAAAAACAACTGCCTGATTTTTAGTTTGCCTAACTCGCCAATTTTTAGGCTTCACCGTATCAGGACTTAAAGGCAAACCACAGCCTCCTTCACTGGCGTTTGTGCCTGACTCCCTTTGTCAGGACTTACTTTGCCTGCAGGGCTTGCGAAAACACCCGAATCCTTCTCGGGACTGACAAATCTTACGCGAATCCTTCTCGAGACTTACAAAAGTGCCTGACCTCCCTCTGTCAGGACTTTGGGGTGCATGCCACTCATACACAGTAATTCACTCTGCATGCCCGGAGTGGGGGGGGCCCTTTATTCTTCCTTGGGAGACGACTTCACTCATGCTAATTCCACTCGCTTTCCCCTGTTTCTGGCCTGCCCCTTCGCAGGAGTCAGGAAACGCGGTACTGAGGGGTCCCTCTCGCTTCGAAGGTCCGGCTGCCGGCCCTCGTCTCACTCACACACATGTGCACGTCTCCCACTCCCGCCACCGGATTTCTCACCAGTCCGGTGCTCCGGTGCTCCTCTGCGTCGCTGTCCTGAGCCAATCCCTCTTGGTCCTGGTAGCCAGCTGTCCTCTGAAGATCCAAGATGGCCAGTCCTGAGTCCTCTTGCGGCGTGGCTATTCCAGATGAGAGCCCCCAGCTGAAATAAACAAAGGGCCAGGAGACTTCTTCTCCTTTTTAATGCCTTTATTAAAAGTGATCAGCTCAGGATTGGGCGGCTCGGGGGGTCTGCATTTCCCGTCGTCTCCCAGGGCGACTCAGAGGAGGAGGATATGCGCAGCTCTGTCCACAAGGGGCTGAACTGGGGGAATCCAGTCCTCGTGGGAGCCTTTTGGGCGTGGTATTCCCCGCCAGGTGGTGCCCCTCCCACTCAGTCGGCCTGGTCTCACCGCCGGGGTCGTCTCTCTTGGTCAGGGCGAGAGGGTCTGAAGGTGTTCCGCATCTCTGCAGGCTCAGCATTCGGCTCCTCACGTCTAGACATCACTCTAGTCTCTCAACTCTTAGGCGGCTCGTTGTTTTGGGGTCTTCTCTGTACACCAGGGGACCCATGCTGCATTGTGGTCTTGGAGTCACTTTGCATAGCCCCCCCCCACCTTCTCAGGTCTCTTCACCCTTCTGGGAAAAGAACACCTTAGCCTCGGGCGAGGCTCTGCTAATACAAAAGGAGCGATTAGCCTCAACGACCCATGATTACAATAACAAAACACGAAGAACTTGGGCAGCTACAGTGCTCTGGCTGCCTTTTTGTAACTTTTTCTCACAAAAAAAATATTAACCGAATTTTGTTCACAACACACTAGGTTGTCGTGATGATGAGCTGCCTCAGGGAAGCAGCAAAGCAGTGCAGATCGACAGGTGTGGAGTGGGAAGCAGGACTGCAGGGAGGAAAAGGCAGGGGGGAGGGGGATCAAGCTGGAAAAATGCCCCCAGTTGTGGTGGAGTTAACTGCTTTTATGTGCTATGGCTCCTCCCATAGCCTGATTTCCTGGGCATTTTTTCCCAGGCATCCAGGAGTCTGTCCCCCTGGCAAAGGGGGAGGAGGTCACTCGCAGCCCATTCCCAAAAGCATTCTCTCCCCTGACTGGCTGCCAGGTGATGTCTCCCCTTAACATATGATACCTGTTAAGGCTCCCAGCACATGCACAGTCCCTATAGTAATTTTTCACCTCATGTATAACATATGTTGAGGCATAAATAAAAATTGTGAGAAACAACCACTCACTTTTAAAATTTTAAAGGTTTATTAAACCTTAACAAAAATACAACAAAAGGACTAAATAAGGAAAAATTGCAGCACTGGGAGCTCCCCTGCCCCCCGTGACTACCAGCCACGTGGCTCATCTTCAAAATGGATGCTCCCCCTTCTATATCTCTAGCCCCTCCTAGAGTCCTGTCAGTCAACACCTTCCTTGCTGTCCAGTGGTGGAGTTCACTTTCTCCTACCTTGATTGGAGGTCAGGTATTACTATAGTAACAAGTCAACCCTCACAAATGCTCTGACTACCAAGGTGATCCCATGATAACAGTGGGGGGGGGGAGGACATATTACAGTAACATACATATACATCTACGAAACTTCTCTTAACATACATATAATGTTCACCCCTTAGTTTTGAGAGCCAACCATCTCATTACTCATCTATAAGAAAAATCAAATCGGTCCCTCTCAGCACGGTGTTGCATGCACAGCACTCACCCTTCTCTGTCTTTTTGAGGCAACAGGTGTTTGGAGTTGTTTTGCAGCTTCTTGTGAAATTGGGTGAAATCTAGTTTTTCAGACTGCAAGTCCCATGTCGCACCACTAGGAAAGAAAAACGGGAAAAATCAAAGAAAGAAAGTTCACTACTAACTAAACACCACTGAGCTGAAGACGAGAGGGCACATAGGAGCCTACAGGCAAGGAAAGTTGATATTTCACAAATCACCACTCCCTGCTGCAGAACGCATGGATGGAGGCCTCCAGTCTTCATATTTCTGTTCCTACTTCTGTCTCCTTTCTTTTAATTTTTTTCTCTTTTTTTTTTTTGTTTTTGAGATACTGAGCTCCTGTTGCTTGATCTAAACCCCTAGTTTTGTAAAATGATGCAGCGTGATCCAACACGCACCTTGCAAGCTATACTTGCTCTCTATATAAAGGGGGTATTGCAACAGGTAGTGGTCTGGTCCATGCAATGGAGATATTCTCTCTGGTCCTGCACAACCTGCTCCAATGGCCTTGAGGAAGTGCCAGGTGGGAACTCAACCCCCATAGATTCTTGCAGTGCTCCAGGCACACAGAGAGAGATGCATAAAACTGGACAGAAAACATATCTCACTTCTTTCTCCATGTTGAAGCATGAATTGAAGAGCTCTTTCCAGTAGCTGCAAAGCCAACACATAATCACACCTCCATTTAATAGAAGTGTAAAAACCTGGAGCAGTAGCTCAAAACTGCCTCAAGTCTTGCCTGTGCAGCTCTTGGATGATTACAAGTAATTTAATCAGTATCACTTTCAGATGTTTGGACTGCAAATCCATTCAGAAGCTTCTCCAAAGCACATAGGACACTTTAAGTAGACTGACTGTTCTTAGTGCTGCAGGTTAAATTGGGATGGAGGGGAGGAGGAGCAGTGATGCAAGTACTGGCAGGGTATTCACTGGTGCTTGGATTCTAGCAGGGTGGATATGCAGGCAAAGGCTGAGACGCCACAGTCCATCTCTCACTTAAAGCATTTAAAAACTGACTTACCTGAAGGAGTCAAAGGTGTTGGCAGCCCAGATGTCCGTGCCCAGCATGTCAAGGGAGCTCTCCTTGTTGCCATTCTAGGAGGGAGGGAAAGGCAGTTACTGGCCAGAAGGCACAAAGCACTATCCCAACCACAACACTGACTGGCACAGCCTCTCCCACTGCCAGCTGCTTAAGTGTTCCAGCTCTGCATGTGGGCTCCTCTGCTCCTATATGAATCAATGCTCACTGCAATGCAGAGTCCCCTTGCCCACTGCAAAAGTGCACCAATGAAGGCAAGAAGTGAGAGTTACAGCCTTGAGGACACAAAGCTGCGGACAACATGGAGCAGATAATTTATAGACTCAGCTCTGACTTCTGCCCCTCTTTTCCATAACCTTCAAACTCACTAAGGTCCAGTGGGTGCAGTGCTATTCCTGTCATAAAGACACAGCTTCAGAGTCACAGAGCCATTGAGGTGGGAAGGAACCTCTGAAGCTCATTTTATCCAACCCTCTTGCTCAAGCAGGATCATCTAATATAGAATAGTTTGGGTTGGAAGGGACCTTTAAAGGTCACCTAGTCAAATCAGGTGCCTAAGATGACATCCATATGGCTTTTGAATATCTCTAAGGATGGAGATACTCTTTCTCAGCAGCTATCAGAGCCTGTTGTCGCCAAAAAAGATGGGGAAAGTCATCCTATTTCTTCAAGGAGTCATGGTGTCATGACTTCTCCTTGCTCTAAAACCAGGCAGGGAACATTGGAACCGTGCACTGTGCCACCTCTGCCATGCACACTAGGGTAATATATGGTAGGGATAATTCATGCTATTAATGTATGGTATAAAAATATTGTGAAATCCAAACCATGTCTTTTGGCCACCCTGGCCGGGAGCAGCTGTCTTATTCAGATTCAACTAGTTCCCAGACACAAGATAACAATCTACACCTTAATGTAAGAATAGAAGCTTCCAGGATGATGATTGTCTGTTTCCTGAGTTGTCGGGAGCCACCCGAAAGCGATTATCGCCTTGCCGATTGCATCTATCAAGATAGTCAGCAACGCCACTCTGATACATCTGAATGCACGGCTCCTCCGGAGCCAATTGACACCAATGGCACACCTGGACGAGGCTTTTGTCCACCTCTGCACATGAAAAGCAACAGCGATGCATGTGAAGAGACACAAAGGAAATTTGGTCATCTTTGCCTTGGGCAGAATAAACTGTATAAAACCTCGCTGAGCGAAGCCGCGAGCGTGAACTGAGGCGACTCTGACACTTGGGAGGTCAGATCTGCGTTCACCCGGCGCTGATCCCAGGCTTGACGCTCTTTGACTGTGGTGGTTTCGAAGACCGAACTTCAGTCTTGCAGACAAATTAATAAATTTTTTCAAAATTTTTGATAATTTTGGCTCACATTTGATCATTTATAACACTAGCAAATGGGTTCACATGGTTATTCTGGTACACATTCTACCAACACTAAGGTGAAGACCTTACACTCATCCTTCAAGGCCTCTTTACAGTCATCAGCCCTCACATATCGTCCCTGCAGAAAGAGGGCTGCCCTCTCTACCCTTAACAGGGGAAGAAGTAAAGCGGATCAGATTTTACAATTCAAGACCATTCAAGAAAACAAACAACTCAGACTTAAATAGGATAGAAAAGTAAATGCATCACAAATAGGGAATCCCATATTACCAATTCTCCCCCTCCCATTTCTTATGCATTTTCGGATTATTTATCTTGAACATATTCAGGTTATTGAAGTACTTCAGCACAAATAGTCCCACTGGTGAAACATGCTGGAGAAGGTGGCTTCCATATATTCCCCATTGTATAATTTCTATAATTTTAAAATATTATTGCTAATAACCAAGGTACTAAAAACTCAAAAATGCGACTGTTTCTTAATGAAGTCCCAGACCTCAATCTGCCTATAAAGTGAGGAATCTTTTCCCAATGAGCAGGATGCACATCCTCAGTGCACATCACAGATAGTTTCACTTCACAGCCATTCCCAGTACAATCAATTTAGACACCAGATACTCCAAACAAAGCCATATTGCCCCCCTTTTTTTGGTCTCCTCGAAGGGGTTTATGGACTATGACTTTAACCTCCAGGGATCTGCAGGTTAACATGTCTTCATCAAGAAACAAAGCATGAGAAATATATTAAATTCTCATGATCGATGATGGAAAGCAATCTTTTTATTTTAGGCAAATATGATTTTCTCCCACCAAGAAGATAAATTAGTTTTCTAAAGCCATAGAAACATCCTCATGCAGTATAATGAAAATACACATGGGCAGGTCTTCTAAGCCATCCTGCAGACAAATCCATTTCTCTTTCCACTTCATAGAATCATAGAATTATTAAGGTTAGAAAAGGCCTCTACGATCATTGAATCCAACCATTAACCCAGCACTGCTAAGTCCACCACTAAACCATGCCCCTAAATGTTTCCTATGGATATGGAATATTTGAAGTTACAATGAGGCTGAAATAAACAAAGCCTGATAAACAATACTGGCAAACCATTAACAACAGATGAGGAGAAGACTGAGGTACTCAACAACTTTTTTGCCTGTGCTGGTTTGACCAGGAAGTGGGAATTCTGAGATGCTGTGGTCAAACCAATGGGTGCTCAGATTTTGATATTGGCACCTGATGTGGCCAGTGGCCAGTGGGGTTTGGACACACCTCTGAGAACACACAGGGGTTAAAAACCAGAGCTTCGTCCCTGGGAGTTTCTCTTGGGACTTCCGTCGGGAAAGGCTTTGCATCTCTCCCCCTGTCCCAGCTGCTGGCTGGGCGGGGAGAGGGGAAAAGCCACTCGGCCATGAGGTAGGCCCAGCCCAAAGATGGAAGGGTAGAAGAGACCAAGTCACATCAGGCAGCCCCCCCCCCCCCCCCCGCCCCCCCCCCCCCCCCCCGCGCCCCAGAGAAGAGAGAGAGAGAGAGCCAGCATCTGAATTCGATAGCGGTGCTGGCCCAGGAGGAGAAGGGGGAGGAGTGGTCGGGCAGCGTAGGAGTTCCGGACAGGCAGAGACTGAAAATTTTAACCCTTTTCCTGCATGATTGAGACCTTGCAAATGCTGATCCTCCTGGAGCTGAATAAGAAAAGAGATAAGATAAGAGGGAATGGGCCACAAGGGAAGCACAGAAGACTCTTGAGTGGGGGAGAGATGACGGAGTGGCCTTTTGCCTGGACTTTTCTTGTGTGGCCATAGACTGAACCATTTTTTTCCTGTGACACAGAGACTGCATTTAGGGGGAGGCAGTGCCTCAGAACCAGGAGGGTTCAGAGTGGGTACCCCTTGGTCCCAGGGGGTGAAAAATTGGGGGGGACAGATGTCCCGAAGGAGAGACTGTGCCTTTTTTTGGAGTGAGACAAGGCATCCTTGAAAGACAACCCTAGAAGCAGCTCTGGTCCATGCACAGTGGTGAGAGCACTGGGCATGGAAGGAAAGGTGTCACCATGGCAAAAGGACTTCCTGGGCGGTGCTGAGTGACATGGAAGCACACGAGGTTTCAACGTGTTTCCAGGGGAAGCCTATGGTGCAAGAAGGACTCCTCTCCTCTTCATGAACTGAAGATTGAGTATTCTAAAGGGTGGTGCCAGACTGAGAGTTGGTGATTTTGGGGGAATGTATTGCATTGGGAAATTTGGTGGGGGGGAGGAGGAAAGTGCTTTTGTAAGGTTTTTCATTTTTTCCCTTATGGTTTTTTTTTTCTTTCTTCTTTTCTTGTAGTTTAGTTAATAAAGTTTTCTTTATTTCTAACCTGGTGCATGCTTTGCTTATTCCTGGTCACATCTCACAGCAGACACCAGGGAGAGGGTATTCTCATGGGGGCACTGGCTTTGTGCCAGGGCTAAACCATGACATTTGCCTCAGTCTTCAATTGCAGTCACTCTTCCCGCACCTCTCAAGTGGATTGACCACAAAATGGGGACTGGAGGAAGAAAGTTCTTCCTGCTGTGAGTGAAGATGCGGTTGTGAGAGACTGAAATGTTGATGGCTAATGACTCAAAACAATCAGCCCTTTGTAGAGGCAGCAGGGTGCTTTTCTGAGGCTAGGTTTGCACTCCCTTAGGGGAAGGAGGTGTGTTTGGATGTGTGGTGGCACATCCTCTGGTCTGCATAAAACAGAGAGGAACACCTACCATGGAAGCTACAAACTAGATGAGGCAGACCCTGCAGAGATAGGATGGTGCTTTTTACCATGACAACTGTCCTCCCTTACAAAAATTGGCTAAATTGTAAAATCTCCCCCCCAACCCCTGGGGAAGGTCACATTCACATGGGAGAGTTAAACATAGGCCTAAGGGTATTCATCCCTTCTGATGGGGCATAACTGGCTCAACTGCACAGAGGTGAGAGGCAGCTGTCATGTCTTAGAAGGTGTCATAATGTGGATGTGACAAGTTGGTCAGAGAGCCAAACAGATTGGTTTCCCAGGCATTGTTCTGGGAAAGCTGTGAGAACTATGAGAAAGAATTAAAACAATTCTTATCTCAGTCTGTGCACCTGCTGTTTTTGAACACGTGGAATGCACGTATGTGATGTTTATGGAAAGAGATGTACAAGAAGGTGTTGTTCCTAATCAACTTATGGTGTGAAAGGTGTTGTTTTAAGGACCAACCAGGTTCTGGGTGAACGATCCTGCTTCTAAATATGGGGAGTTTGTAATAAAGCTTGCTTAATGCCTTCTGAAGAGACCTAGGGTGTATGTGTTGCTCATTCTGCTGTCTGTAACTCAACGATGACATCATAAACCATCAAAGGCTCCCAAAGTGTGTCCAGACTCATTTCTGAGGCCTTTCACCAGAGGACTTGTCTCGGTTTGAGACAAGTTAGGAGGAAACATCCTGAAATGAACGTCTCCTTTAAAGAAAGCAGGTTTTGGCACTGCCTCCTCTGACCAAATGAAAGTAATTTCTTGGAGGAAAGTGAAAAAAAACTGTTTTTTTAACACACACAAAGTGCACACAGGCACGGGAAAAAAAGAATAATGTTAATTATTAAAACCATCTTACTGTGGAGAAAGCTGGTGAATTCAGAGTTCTTTCTGTAGGTGTGGCTTAGCTC